TTAAAGGAAGCAAACCCAGCATCAATGGCCGAGCGAGGTGAGGCTGGAACTCCGGGGAAGGCAGGGGCAGCATCACGTGGGTGCTTGTGGGATGAGGGGACAAGGACAGGGACTTGGGGCAGTATCTAAATCAAGGTAGGAAGAAGTGTATATGCGACCAGGCGATGCAGACGTGCTCTCCTCTGTCCTCCTGCCAGTGTCCGGAGGTGCTCACGCGGAGAAACGGCTGCGAGTAGTGTTGGGTTCACACTCCACAGTGCCCACTTACTCCTTTCACAACGGCATCGCGCTGTGAGTTCAGGGAAAAATAAGTCGACTTCAGAAGAAACCAGTGTTTTAATGAGTGTGAAGCATGAGAACTGTGTTTCCTTTCTGGTTGCTTTCACCTAAGCCTCTAAAGCAATTCGTCCAATAAAAACACCGGACAAGGCAGTGCCCGTCGCAAGAGCTCGACAGAAAAGCGGCGTGAGAGTACAGCGGCTGTGCCCACGTAGGCTTATAGGGCCCCTCACACACGCAGTGTAACAGAGGAGGAGGGGCCCCCTGAGGTGAGAGGCTGCTCATCACCACCAGTAAATCTCAGGGCGCCAATCTGCTGCCTGGGGGGCCCTCAGGAGCAGGGCTCTGCCTACAGCTGTACAGGCTATAATCGAAAAAAATTGTTTCCAAGATTAAACTACGTAAAAAGTGAGAGAGGCCGCTGAAGCTCAGGTCAAACAGTGGCCTTCTGGATTTGTGCAGAACAGAAGTACTGTATGAATTAAGTCCTCCTCCGACCGGCTCGTGGGGCCAGAGTGCTGAAGGTCGGCACGGACGCCTGCGGGAGTGCCGGCAAGAGGGTCAGAGACTCAGCCCCGGAGGCTCAAGGGCGCACCCAGAGAGCTTTATTCTGGACTCGGACAACATGAGTACACACAAATTACCCTTTCGACACCACGACTCTTTCTGAGTTCCAAATCAAACAAACGGCGGCTAAAATGTAAGAGGTCTGTCCAGGGAGGTGGGAGGCCAGGATGCTGCCTTCCACGGAGGTACAGAGAAATGAAAATTTGTGCGAGTCTGTCAGACATACGAAAAGTTCCTCTCATTCCAACAGAAAGCAGGCATTTGGAGAATGTAAGAGAATTTTAAAGTCAAAAAACCAAAAACCAATATTTCACACGTTTCTAAAAAGAGCAAATGTGGGTATCAATTGGGAAAATCTCGTCAAGACGTCCACCACGCAATCAGGCACCTGGTCACAATCACACGGCTGGGTTTGTGGAGGAGGCGGCGGGAATCCTCAGAGCATGTGCCGACAGAAGTGTGCACGGGAGATAGTGTGTGCGTGTGCACGTACGCGTGTGTGCTAGCTCCGTGCTTTCATTCTAACTGAAAAGACAAAGGCTAACTCACGTGTGTATCAACTTCTGACCCGCCAGGTCCGAAGGGTGCGGTCAAATCCGTCTGAGACGGTGCAGGACCCGCACCTCCGCGGGGCTCAGCAGTGGGCAGCGGCGAGCCGGGCGGCCCCCACGCCCCACGGAAACACCACGCTGTATACAGGTCAGGTTACCCCAGGAGGTACCTGCTCTGGCTTTTACGCACACGAGGAAACTTCGAGCCAGTGCTTTCCGATTCGATGGTACAGTCTCAGAAACACAATCTGGCGGGCGGCAGGGGGCACATCAAAACCCCATTAAACGTGCTTTCCCGGGTCTTAGAATTCAGCTGAGCCACCCAGCACCTGAATGTGTGCCACGGAACGAACGGTCGAACGTTCATCCTGACTCTCGACACCTGCACGAGGAAGCGGAGCTAAGGCTGGTGACCTCTTGGTGCCAACAGCCTTGAGTGGCAATGACCCTGGGCAGCACCAACGGATCAGTTTATGCGTTATCCTGAAGAACTAGGTCTGTTTTAGCCAAATCTCTTTGAGAGCAGGGTCTCCAGTACATACGGGCCTGATTTCATGCTTTCAGGTTTTGAGAACAAGATAAAAGTGGCCGTGGGAGCTGTTGTTCTGGGAGACACAGCCGCGGCCGGCTTCCCGAGCAGTCCAGGATTTGAGTACACGCAGCACTGTGTGTTTCATTCCCAAAATACTTTCCCCTTTTTAAAAATGCTTTAAAGCTCTTTTAAGACTAGCAAACTTTTAACCCTACCCTGTGCGGAACCGCTCATCTATGAAAACGAAACTCTCCGCCCCGACCTGGAGAGCAGTGGAGGCTCTGGCCACCTGGCAGCTCCCCCTCCACAGCCCAGCCTCTTTCCTATCCACCCGGCGGCTGCCCCAGGCGGTGACCAGAGTGGCCCAGGTCCTTCGTGCCACCCCACACCCCCAGACTCCCAGCGGCATGGGGGGTTCAGGGCCCTGGCCCAGGCTGGCCTCTGTCTGCCTTCCGCACTCTCCACACGGGAGCTCCCTCCTGGCTGTGCTGACCTTTTACCTGTGCCCAGACCTGGGTCCATCCACTCACGTGTTCCCCTAACTCCTCCACCCGATGCCTCAAATGCACTCAAAACGTGTGCAAAATGAGCTCCTGACTTCTGAGCGTCTCCTCCCATCAGGACCTTCCCCGGTGTCCCCTGTTCAGTGCTGGTCCCACCCTGTAAACCCAAACATACCCGCTGGAAGCTTGGAGATCCTCCCTCCCTTCAGCCACCAGATCCTTTTGCTTAGGCGAAAATTAATTTAGTTTTAATTTAGTTAATTTAAATTAATTCGTTTCACGGGATCGATGTCACCTGCGGCCTGCTCTCCACACGTGCTGCTTCCGAACGTGTTCAACGCACGTCTGTGTCCCCTCACCCTATTCACCTCGACCCCTGCCATCTGACGTCGTCCCTTCCCGCCGTGTCCCTGCGCTCCTTGCTCTGTGACCACGCCTGTCCAGGAGGACCAGCGGACGGCCTTGCCGCTCTCAGCGAGCGCTCCGCTGCTGTCTGCGTCGTCTCAAACTGCCCACCCCGGGGCTTCCCGGGAGCCTGCCTCAGCCCCGTCCCTGTCAAGCCTCTTTGCCGCTTAGCGGACAGACTCTCCGGGTAACAGCCATCTGCCGTCCTTCTGGATCCTGGACTTCGCCGCTCCTCCTCTCTAGGGCCTTCTCTAAACACATCTCTCAGAGGTCCCCGGCTGCCGGGCAGAAGCTTCCCCTGCAGGCCTGTCTCCCCCTTCAGCTCTCACCGCGCGCGACCCCGCAGGCACCACCGATGCCCAGTCTCTCCTCTCCCTTCCAACCCACTGCCCCGCAGATGGCTCTTCCTCCGCGGGTGTCACCACCGTCAAGGGGTGAGCCAGGCCGCACGTCGGAGCCCCATCCAGTCCCGGAGCTCCTTCCCGGAGGACCGCCACTGTTCTCTCCGCAGGGCAGGTCCGGCCGTGCTGGCAGCGCTGGTCGGGAAGGTCGGCGTCAGCATCGCTCGCTGGCTCCTTCCGTCCTCAACAAACGTCCCAGAGCTTTCGGCGCTCGGGAAGCTGCCACGTCCGCGCCGAGCTGACCCGTTATCAGGCCTCAGTGAGCACGACCGCGGCGCGAGACGCTACACACCGCAGAGGACGCGGGGGCACGCGTCCGCTCTCCTCGGGAACGCCTCCCCACCCTGCCGAGCCGCCGACCCCAGGGAGACTCCACGGAGACGGGGAAGCCCCTCCGCTCGCCAGGACCGCAGGGGCCGGCGGGGAAGGGGCTGGCGTGGGGAGCTTTCCGGCCGTGCTCGCCCGGACCGGGCCGCCAGGGCGTCCCCGAAGACGAGGTCACCCTGCCGCTGGGAGGGCTCCAGGAGAGCGCGGCGCAGGACCCCGGCAGACGCACTCCCAAAGCAGAGGGCCGCCTCAGTGTCGGGGCAGAGCTGCCCACGGTGGACGCTGCGGGCGTCCACCTAGGACGGGGGACGTGGGGTCTGCGCAGCTGGGGACCCGGTGGCCGCGGTGGGAGGGGCCGTGCGTCCGCGACCCCGGGAGAAGGCGCAGGGAAGCTTCTTCGGGCGGAGCAGTCCGTCTCCGGAGGGCGCGACGCTCCGCCTCGAAGGCCCTCGGCCCCCCGCGCACTCCGCCGGACAGCCGCACCGCACAGACGGCCCCGCCGCGACGGACGGCCTCGCCACCGACACGCAGCGCCCGCGCGTCCTGGGTTCGCGTCGGAACTTCGGGCCCGCAGGTCGGCCGTCGCCCGGGCAGCAGCCACAGCAGGCGCCGCGGTCAGACCGACCCGCCACCCGCGGGAGCGACCGCACGACCCCGGCGAGCCCCGACTTCTAGCCGAGGACGACGTCGGCCTCCACCCCGACGCCCGGCTGCGGCAGCCCGGGAGCTCCGGCCCCGCCGCACGCCTGCCCCCGGCCCGACCCGGCCCGGCAGCACGCGCGGCCGGCGGACCCCCGCGCCGCTCCCCGAGGGCAGGCCCGTCTCTGTCCACTAGTGAAGCGCCGGGCGCTGCTTCCCCGGGCGGGCGACCCCCGCAGCCCGCCTCAACCGACAGCGCGGAGGCTCCCGCCGGGCGCGCTCGGCCGCCTCCTCCCAGGCCCGCGCGAAGGCAGGCGCCCAGCGGGGAGGGCCCCCCCCACCTCGGGGCGGCGCGCGGCACCGGCGCCCGCCCCCCGCCCCCTGCCCTCCGAGCTCACACAAATGACGGAAAGGAAGCGGGGACCTTGGCCTCCGACTCAGTCTAGATGTCGCCATCGCGGCGCGAAGTTCCCCCACAACGACACTTCGACGGCGGCCATCTTGTCCAGGGTCGGCCGACGCCTTTTGACTCTCGCGCCAACCCGTACAGCGAGGGCGCCGCGAGCGGAGTTCTGCGCAAGGACGGAAGCCGGAGTCCCGCGCTTCCGGGCGGCGGCCGCGCCCCCCCCCCCCGGGGGCTTCTGATTGGCTGCGGGATCGTGAGCCTGCGCTCTCACGATTTCGCGATCTCGCGGGAGGTGCCTGGAGGGGCGGCCGTCGGTGCGTCTGCCCTCGCGTTCCCCCGCCCCCGCCCCCGCCTTCGCCGCGGCTCCCGCCTCCGCTCCCGTCTTCGGCGGCTCACCGCCACCCCCGGCTCGGCCCGGCCCCCCGAGCGGCCGCGGAGACTGCGCAGCGCGGGAGGCGGGATCCGCACGGTAAGATGGCTGCGGCGGACGCAGGCAGCCGGGCCGGGCTTCCCCGCGGGAACGCGGCGGGCCGGGGCGCGGCTGGGCGGGGGCTCGGCGGGGACCGGGGAGGAGCGCGGGGAGGAGCGCGGGGCGGAGCGCGGGCCGGGGGCGGCGGAGGGGCCAGCGCCGGGGCTCTGCCGGCTCCGAGGTCCGAGCGGGCGGCGCGCCGCGGCCCTGCGCGCTGCACGTCCAGCCGCTCCTGGTGTCCCGGGGGCGGAGGCTGCTGACCCCCCGGGGCCGCTCCGTAATCCCGTGTTTGCTCCTCAGGGCAGAGCTCGCCAGGCGAGGGCTCCGACGTGCCGGGCTGGCCGCGCTCTGGAACGCCGGTCCTGCCGCGAAACGCCACGCCGGCGCGCCCGGGGAGAGAACGGCGTCTGGGACACGCGCGGCGGAGCGTTCGCCGGCCGGGTGAGGAGGCGACGGGGCCCGTGGGCTGCCCGCCTGCTGCGCTCTCGGTGCGCCACGCAGGGCGGGTCGCTGCTCCCCAGAGCGGCTCGCGCTGCCGGCAGCTTCCCGGTGCGGTGGTGGGAGGCCGGGGCTCGTCGGGGAAGCTGCGTGCGGCCCGAGCGAGGTCCGTGCTTGCCCGGAGCAAGGCCGCGTCTCCGGGCGCTGCAGGACTCGGTCTTGGGCCGGTGCTTCCCCCGCCGGGCTCTGCCCCGCGCGGTCCTTGGCCGGCTCCTGGCCCTCAGCGTCCTCGTTCGGAGGGGGCCTCCCTCATGCGCGCTCCCAGCGCCGAGCCGGGCCTGCGGCGGAGGGGCCTGCGGGGCGTCCCGGCTGCGCGTCGGAGAGTCGGCCCAGACTTGTCCCACCGCTCGAACCTGTTCTCTCCTCCGGCCGGTTCAGGGGCTGCTGTTGTGTGTGTGAGTGTGTGAGTGTGTTTTAATCCTGTGCGCGCGGTCCGCCAAGGCTGTCGGCCGCTGTGGCTCTGACGTTCCTGGCTCGGCTCTCACTGGTGGCTGCGTGCTGGCCTCCCGGCTTCCGCCGCTGAAGTTCTCAGTTGAGCGTGAAGTCCGCCGGCCTGGAGCCGCATCCACACTGCAGGCTGCTTACGGAGGACCGGATGGAGGACCGGATGGCTCACCGCCGTCTTGAGAGCCCCGCTGGCTCCCGGGGCACCTGTCTGCCCCGCGCTCCCACGGTAGCCGGTAGCCGCGCGGCAACAGGCAAACTGCGCCCTTGCGCCTCCTGCGGCCGGGCTGTTTGCAAGCTCTGGTCCCCCCACTGCCTTTGGGCATCAGACCCTTTGCCCTTGCTGTCCTCCAGATTTAAATCTGCCCCTCTCTGTCGCTTCACACCGTGTAGCTGTGTTTGTCTCTGAAACGATCACAGTTGTCATAGAATTCTTAAGAATTTTTTTTGTAACCAAAGTATAGCGGAGACCAGCGTTAGGTTTGTTTCTGCGCACCGTGTCGGGACTTGACAGCTGTCTGGTTGTGCGTGCTCACAAGTGTAGCCGCCCTCTGTCACGTCCAGCTCGACGGCAGTGCCGCTGAGTGTGTTTCCCGTCCTGTGTCTCTCGTTCCCAGCGTTTTCACTGGTCTTGAAAATATTTTTTTTTGTAGAAACACGTCGGAATGAGTTACGCAGAGAAGCCTGACGAAATCTCGAAAGACGAGTGGCTGGAGAAACTCAATAACTTGCACGTGCAGCGCGCGGACATGAACCGCCTCATCATGAACTACCTGGTGACAGGTAAGGGCCTGCGGCGGGGTGCTGCCCGGTGGACGTGCCCACGGTCAGAGCCGTACCGCCGACGTTCCTTGGTGGAGTTAGGTTGTTTGCGTGTTGTGAAAAAACGCCAGGCTGATTAGCAAATTCGCGGATCGGTGTAGTAAAGGTGAGGTCTTCTGGAGAGGAGATTGTTACTCTGGGTGTCTGAGCTCTACGGCGAAAACCTGTTTCTTGACCGGTGACGTGTTTACAGTTAATCAAGGTAAGTAAGAATGTTCTGGAGTACGTTGAAAGTCCCAGGTAACTGATCTCTTCGCGCCAGTCTGATAAATCACTGTCTTTAGAAGGTGCGCCTAACTCAAAAGAGGAAGGGGGAAAGGTAGAAGCCTAGAGAAACGAACAAACGGGGTCTGTAACTAACAGTCCTCCTCGATACTGGGAAGGAAAAGGGTAGTTCTGTGCCCGATCAGGAAATCTAGTTGTTTCAAACAGGTACGAGTCTCCTTCCTGCTATTCACAACACTCCCCTTCCCCAAATTCATCGGCCGTCATTTGAAGGGCGACGAGGAAGTGTCTGCCTATTGCTGGCCGGGTGGGGTGGGGGGACAGCACACGCGCTGCTTGGGTGTTGAGAAGTATGGTCTCCTGAGAGGCAGGGGTGACCAGGTCCCTGTCATCTGTGAAGGCAAGCCATTGTGTCCAGATGTGCCTGGGGGACACATGCCCGGGACAGACCTGCACCTTCCCTGCCTCTGGGCCTGGGCCGCAGCCCTCTTTAAGAAGCCCACAACGTACCGGGCTTCGTGGCATTCGTTTTCACCCTGGCTGGTGGGTGAGAGGTGTTTTGGATGGGATGGGAAGGAGTGAAACTCATTCTTTTCATTTTCTCTATGGGGCGTAACTGGTAGGTGACAGAGATGTCACTATCAAATCCCTAAGAGAGTGTGGGTCATGTTGAAGGTTACCGGAGGTGAGTGGGCTTTCTGGGGTTAAAAATGCTTTGCATCCGCGTCTCGGTGGCTTTCGAGCACTGACGATGGGTGTCATTTTCAGAGGGTTTTAAGGAAGCTGCAGAGAAGTTTCGAATGGAATCTGGGATTGAACCTAGTGTGGACCTAGAAACACTGGACGAGCGGATCAAGATCCGTGAGATGATCCTGAAAGGCCAGATCCAGGAGGCCATCGCACTGATCAACAGCCTCCACCCCGAGCTGCTGGACACGAACCGGTACCTGTACTTTCACCTGCAGGTGAGCTGCTGGAGCTGCCGGCTGCGCGCGGGCGTTTCAGAAGTCACAGGGCTAAGCTGCATTCCCACAGTATGTGTCCGTTTGCGTGGGGAAGGGGTTTCAGGTAGCTGTGGTTTTTTGCATTTCAGAAGATGTTTCTTGCTTTAAGAATGCTAATTCAGGGGCACCTGGCTGCTCCCGTCACTGAGGCACCCAGCCCTTGGTTAAGGCTCAGGTCATGATCCCAAGGTTGTAAGGTCGGGCTCTGTTTGCTTCTCTCGTCCTCTCCCTCTGCCCCCTCCCCTGCCCCGCTTGGGTGTTTTCGGTCTCTCTCTCAAATACATAAAATTTTAAAAAACGCTGTTTTAGTAACTCAGGGATGCTAGGAGGTCGTTCTCTAAGGTGACCTTTGACTAGAAACTTGCGCCGCGCTGCTGACGCGGTGTGTAAGCCTGTGTGCCTTTGCCGGTGACCAGCAACAGCACCTCATAGAGCTGATCCGCCAGCGGGAGACCGAGGCGGCGCTGGAGTTCGCGCAGACCCAGCTGGCGGAGCAGGGCGAGGAGAGCAGGGAGTGCTTGACAGAGATGGAGCGCACGCTGGCCCTGCTGGCCTTCGATAACCCCGAGGAGTCGCCGTTTGGAGACCTGCTTCATATGATGCAGAGGCAGAAGGTAAGCCCGCCGAGGGGTCCTCCGTCCCCCCCGCGGGCCTTCGGGGTGGGGCTCAGAGACCACAGCGGCCCCCTCGGGGTGGGTGACGCACGGTGGCGGCGGCGGCAATCCTTCCCTGGTGGGGGTCTTCCACTGTGCGCGGCCTGGAACAGAGCGTTGTGACTGAGCATACGATTTTCAGACGTCTTTGTTAGTTTCTCCTTTATCACAATCTTTCTCTTTGTTCGGAGACTTAGAAATAGGTGCCCCCTGGGTGGCTCAGTCAGTTTAAGCGTCTCTCCCAGGCCAGATGTGATGGGTGCCAGCCGCACCACGCGCTCCTTCTGAGCGAGGAATGTGTGTTTCACATCTGTCGGCAGGCCTCCTGGTGACGGCCTTCGCGTTCGCTTAAATAAGTAACGAGCTCGGCCTGTAAGAACGGCTTCCAGGAAGTATAAAAAGCACGTGGTAGCAGCCTCTCGCTGGTGCTCTGCGAGTGTGGTGGTTTTATGGGATGTGTTTATTTTCTAGGTGTGGAGCGAGGTTAACCAAGCTGTCCTAGATTATGAAAATCGTGAGTCAACGCCCAAGCTGGCAAAATTACTGAAACTCCTCCTTTGGGCTCAGAATGAGCTGGACCAGAAGAAAGTCAAATATCCCAAAATGACAGACCTCAGCAAAGGTGTGATCGAGGAGCCCAAGTAGAGTGCGCCAGTGGCCCCGTGCTCCCACGGCCCGGACTCCTCGGAGCAGCCATCTGTGACTGAGACATTTGTACCGCAGTAGAGAACTCTTCCCCTTCCCCTCCCTTCCTTGCTTCCTTTCTTTCTTTCTCTTTCTTTCTCTTCCTTTCTTTCTTTCTTTTTTTTTTTTTTGACCTGGCATCTATTTTAAAGGGAAAAGTGGCCCTTTTAAGCGCCGGAGAACTTGCAGCCAACGGCACTGTGTCGTGGGAAGTGCGACGCAGACTCTGCTGGCAGGGCGTGTTCTGAAGGCGCGGACAGGCGGCGGGGCGCGCCTGCCACCGGCTCCCAAAGGACCGCACCCGGCCGAGTGTTGGTCAGGAGGGAATATTGGGAAACGGGGGCCTCCCGCTCGAATCTGCGAAAAGCGCTGATTGGCATTCTGCTTTCTGTTAGCTTGTAGGCAGAGCGCACGTCTTCTCAGACCTCCTAAGGCTCGCCAGGCCTCGGTGCAGAAGTTGTTTCTTACCCCTTGGTTTTCGTTTTTGTTTTTTCATAGGAAAGACTATATAAATTTGTAAATCCTAATTCACAGACTTTTTTCTTGTGTGAGGGCATTGAGTTTGATTTGTTTTCCCTTTCCGTCTGGGTTGTGTGGCTTTTGGGGAGACGTGTGCCTGACGGGTGGGGCTGTGTGTTTTTTAATTTTTTAAATATATATTTTGGTGCTGGTTGTGGTGAGAGATTCTTTCCTGGTGGATCAACGAACCCTCTCTTCTAGGCAGTTTTGTTGAAAATAAAGGTCTTTTTTTGATCTCAAGAATGACCAAACGGCCTCTAAAAAGTTTTAATCATCTCAAACCTTTTGCTTTCGGGGCTTCTGTCCTGGTGCACGGCAGTGGCATCAGCTCGCCCCTGCGGCTGGAGGCCCTCTGCCCGGTGTGGTCCGTGTGCTTGGGAGGGAGCACCCGCGCTGACGGCTGAGCCTCGGCCGCAGACGTCCCTGGTGGGAGCGCGTGCTCACGTGGGGAGGCTGGCGCCGCAGCAGTGTGCTGTGCGCTTGCGGTCTCGTGGTGTTTGTGAGTTCCCAGGTGTCCTGATCCCGCGCTCTCCCCGGTCCCACCACCGGGGCAGGTGCTGGGGCCCTTGGGACTTGGATGCGAGCACGTGTGTGGCCTCACTGCAGGTGTCACTGGCCACGGATTCTGTGGGGCGATCGTTACAGAGCTGTGTCTCGTGGAGGTGGTGGTGACGGTGCCTAGGCGTGCACGTCCCCTGGTGGGAGCTCCCAGCTGCCGTGGCGGCTGGGACTCTGTCCTCACTGGGTGGATCCTTGTGCTGGGATGGGGTCCGGCACCTGTGGCTTCACGGAGGGAGACGCCCGCGGCAGCTGAATTGCCGGGAACGTGTGCTTGTGTCTGGCAAGGTTGAGCAGGCTTGTGGGTGCTCCTGTAGGTCAGGTGGTGGCTGGGCCCTGTCCCCCGCGTGCCTGCAGCCCTGGGTGGTGGTGTGAAGTGATGTCTGTCACCTCCTCTCCTGCCGCGCTCTGGGAGCAGTGGTTTCCTCTGGTGGGCAGGAGCCTTGGGCAGGGTCGGCTGCCCTGGGGGGTCAGTGACGCAGAGGCAAGATGGTGCGGGCTCGGGGGGCTGTCCTGGCCTCTGACTGCCCTTCTGCCCTTGTGGTTTTGTGAGGACGGAGGGCGGTCTTCTCGACGCCAGGGAGCAGACGTGCTTCTGCTCGGACCGTCTCAGCAGTGCTCTCCAAATGGGACCTTTCTTGGGGGCCGTTTCCTCTGAGGCTTGCACATGGTAAGTTAGAGCTAAGGTTTGGATCTTCAGGCAACAAATCATCACGTAGAGCAGAAGCTGGAAGAGACAGCAGCAGAGAGGTGTGCGTGGGCCTGCGTTCGAAAAGCGCCGGAGGACTCAGCACGTTTCTAGTCGTGTACGGGAGGTCATTTACGAGCGTGATTTATGTACGATCGCCCTGACACGTTCTTCACGTTAGAGGGTGTGAGATGCGTGGTGGCGGGAAGTTCTGTATGCGAGAGCCACCCAGGAGCCAGCAGGGCCCCGACGGGCTTTGTCACGTGCAGGAAGCGCGAGTGAGCGGCGTAGGACGGCGTGCTGGCGCGCGGTCACCTGTTGGGGCTGCGCGTGGCGTCCCGAGCAGGCGCTGCTGCCAGTGTGGGCCGGTTGTGGTGTGACCGGGAGCCCTGGCTGTGCTCCTGCTGGCCTGGCTTCTGTCTGTGGCCCGCTTCCTGCCTCCTGTGCTGTCCCCGACTGGGAACCTGCTTTGGCGGGAGCGGCTCTGCGGGCTTTTCCTGTTTGCCGCCGTTTGCGGTCTCTCCGTCTTCAGGCAGACGACATTAAGCCATTTTGAAATAATGAACTTTAAGTGTAATTTAATTTTTCTTTATCTTCTTTGGATCTTGCTGTTGCGTTTATTAAAATGTGATGTTTTACGTAGTTTATTCTTTTTACATTTCCTTGTGGAAAGTGCCTTGAAATAAATAAAATTTGAGAATACCCTGGTACTCTGCGTTCCTGATACCGTGAAGTTGTGTGAGGAAACCCCCCGTTTGGAGTCTTTACGAGGCGTCGGGATTATTGCAAACCCAGTGAGAGCTAATGTACTTGGGCATTTGGATTAAGGTTTCCAGGTTCTAGAAGAGGCAGATGTGTCTCGGGACTGGTCTTTGGGATTGACTGAAGACCCCGTGTGTGAGGCGTCAGGAGCAAGGAGGCGGCTCCTCCTGCGGTCAGGGTGCTTCCGGGGGACAGTCTTGGCCAGGCAGCGTGCGGTCTGCGTCCTGGGACAGTGTTGGTTTGGGGCACGGGCGGAGCCGCGGCTTCAGAAGGAACTGTGCACGTTCCACGTTCAGGTCAGTGGTGTCTTTGGGGGAGCGGGGCAGGACCCGCTTCTGGGAGTTACTGTGCGGTCCCAGCATGAGCGGGAGGCCAGACCGGGACCGCCAGGCCTGTGTGCCTGCCCCCCGAGATGCGAGCACAGTGGGTCGTCGGGGGCCAGGCCGTGCGGCCTCAGAAGCCCCGTGGTGTGGCCTTTTGATGTGTTATTTGGAAACCACGCGCTTCGCTTCTATAGCGGGTATGTTTCTGTTGCAGAAATGTGTTGCTTTTTCGGATTTAAGAGTAAATTATATTGTCTGCGTCGGTCATGTGACTTCGGTGTCCCTCCGTGGCAGCCGCAAGCCTCCGTGCGCCCCTGGTTCCGAGTCCGCGTTGCTCCTGAGGGCACGTGTGCCCGCCACAGCGTCTTCTGAGAAACGCAGAGTAGGTTGCTTTTGGTGCCTCTTCTTAAATTCGTGGTCAGCTGCGTATGTTTTTCTCAGAGTGGTCGCCTGGAAGGTCTCTTGTGTTTTTCCGCATAAGGATACTCTGATAAGAATGAGGAACTCAGCGCGACATGCGGTCCTCCGGGAGCCCCTCCGCGAGAGCCCGTCCGCGAGAGCCGGCGGAGGAAGCTTCAGCCTCGCTCACCTTGAGGCTCTGCTGATCCGTCCCCTCCGCCGACCAGCACCAGCGGGGGCGCGTGTACAGTCTGTCGTCTGTTCTCCAGAGTGGTGGTCCTGAACTCTCATTTCTGTGAAGGAAATAGATTGGGGCACCTACCGCGTGATTTTAACCTGAGAAGTTATTTTTTTTTAGTACTCCTGAATCTTTCCAGACATTCGGAGGAGATGAGCTAGGCGGTGAGCGCCAGGGCCCTTCTCCCCGTAGGGACTGTGCCGCGGGCAGCCGGGGTTGTCAGCGCCTCGTGTGAGAGGCAGTTGTGGGACACTTGGCAGAGACGCGGAGTGACAGCTTTCCAGTGCCTTCTAGTGAGTGCAGAAGTGAGGTGCCTCGTGCCAGAGCAGCGGCACATGGACTGTGGCCCCCACGGGTGCATGGACGTTGGAGAGGGGAGAGCAAGCCTCCCCGTCCCTCTTCCCCAGGTGGCGATGGTGTCTGAGGCCTTCTTCGTGCCAGCCTGCCCCTCCTTGTTCTGAGAGCCGTCCCCACAGCGCATGGGCTTGCACTCGACGCCGTGTGCGGTGTTCGGCTGGGCCGCAGTCCCTGCCGCGTGAAGCCTGTCTTGGATGTTGTGCCTTAATTCCCAGATGCCATCGAGGCCCTCTTCCCGTCCTCTTCGTGATTGACTTCCGTGGATGTAGAGACAGGGTTTGTGTGGCCTTGGGCATCTGTGGCTATGTGGACTCTGTGCCCTGGGGGAGTCCTGAGCCGCTCGGCCCCCGCAGGACGCCAGGCCCCAGCTCCAGCAGCCCGAGGGCCTTGGTGGCCGGGGAGGGGCGGTCTGGGTGAGCTGGTCGTCGTATCCCTGATGCTGTGGGCCAGAGGTCTTTCTCGTTGCAGGGTGGATGTGGTGGGGCGGAGACGCCTCTGTGTGGTCGGGAAGGCCCCAGCTAGAAGGCCAGGTGGACGGGCTCACTCTGACCGTGGTACAGAACGTCTGTCGGACTCCTCTGTACTCCGCTCCAACCACAACCTTTGCAGAAGGAGTGAGAACCGGGGGCAGTGGCTTTATCCGCACGTCCTGAAGCAGGTCGCACCGCCGGCCCCCTGCCCCGCTGTGGACGCAGCCCAGGCTAGCGTGCGTGCCGTGTGCTGCGTGCTGTGGGGCTGTGCCTCCCATCTGGAGCTGGGGGTGAGGAGACGAGGCTGCCGCTGGCCCCTGCTCCTGGGACTGCTGGACTCAGGTGTCGGAGTGCTGCCTGGCTGTGACCTCTCTCCCTGCCACGCTGCGACAGACTGCTCACGCAGACCGAGGCATCACGTGGCTGGCCTTCTCCCAACTGGGTTTTGGAAGGGAAGCAAGCCGGAGGACCACAGAGGACTCCCTGGCTAGGCCACAGGGGCCCCGGGGGGCTGGGAGGGGCGGGCAGCAGAAGCACGCAGACCCAGGGGGAGGGGGCAGTGCCGGTCCCTGCACGGCTCCAGACTCATGGGCCCAGCGAGTCCATAATCTCTGGGCGTCCCGGCATATTTTTAGTGTGAAACGTGTTGCACAGCACTGTTTTCAAGACTCACGTAGTGAACTCACCAGCACTTTGAAGAGAATGATCTGTTCCAGAACCTTCAAGGATTCCACGTGTAGAACCTATATTGCATTAAATTCATTTATTATCATAAAGTTCGTCTTCCTGGTTTCCAGTGAAATCACACACAGTCCATTGCCCTTGTTTCCCTCTACCTGCTGTTAATTCTGCTCAAAAGATAGCTTCGTCCCTCCTTTGGTTCCTGCGCACCTGGAGGAGGGGGCACAGCGGAGGCCCCGCTGCTTCGCTCCATCCCAGTGGGGCCGGCTGTGCAGGCTGGGGCAGGTGGGAATCAGCCCCTGGGGCTGGAGGGTGGGGAAGGTGGGCCCTGTGCTGCGGGGCTCTCCCAGGTTTGGTTCTCAGGGCAGCGAGAAGCCTTGGCAAGATTGGCCAGGCTGCCGCGAGGTGGGTGGACTGGGGGTGGGAGGAGGCAGCCGCACAGGGCAGCGCAGTGCAGCCCGGAGTCCACTCCTTGCCCTTGGGTCGCGGTGTGTGCGCTGCTGGCTGGGTCCTTCCTGTGGACACGTGAAGCCCCCTGCGAGGGAGGTCCAAGGGGCCCACTTTGGGCCTGGCAGAGCCTGCGTGCTCGGCACACCTTTGCGGGGAGCTCCAACCCCTTCTGCAGCCACCTGTTGTGTGGACCCTGGCCCTCGGCCGCCCAGCACAGACTGGCCCAGGATGACGAGGCTGGAGCCCGCCTCCAGAGATCCACGTCGACAATTGGCTACTCCTGACTGAACTGCCCTTGCACTGTGTGAAGACTGTCCCCAATGCACTCAGCCCTGTGATGGGCAGGGTGGGGGTGGGGGGCCACCACCATCCCCCAATTCACGGCAGGTGTCCAAGATCAAAGTCAAAATGCCCCGTGCCAGGACCACGCAGCACGGCCCCTGCACAGCCCCACCGTAGCCTGGGCTGTCCAGCCTGCGGGAGGGAACCCCACGCCTTCCCCGTCTGCCTGCGTCCGTGCCCCCAGGAGCAGCAGGGAGGTGGATGCTGACTGCCGCCGCAGAGCGCCGGGGCCGCCGCAGAGCGCCGGGCGGGGATGGGGCGGGGACGAGTGGTGTGCTCCGCCCCGCCCGCCCGCCCTTCGCGGTGGCCGTCGGGGCGACACGTCCTAGGAGCGCCAGACGGAAGCGAAGCGCTGCTGGGACTGACACGTGGCCTTGGGCGGTGCTGCCCGTGTGGGTCGGCCAGGCAAGAGCCCAACCTGGACTGGACGCGCTAAGCCGTGTGCCCGCGGACGGCCGCCCCTGATGCAGCCGCAGCCGCTGCCGCTGGAGGAGGCCCGCAGGGACGGGGCCGAGAACACCCAGTGGTCCAGGTGGGGCTGAGGTGTGGGTTGGGGGGAATGGGGGGAGCGTGGTGGCTTGGGAAGGGGCCGAGGCCACCACTCCAACCCCTGAGGTCGTGCACTACCCAGACCCAATCCAGGATCCTCCTCCCTTCCATCCAGTCCCAGGGCCAGCGAGTGCCCCTTGAGCCCTCTGCAGGCTTTCCAGGGTCCTGGGCTTGTGCAGGCAGGAGGAATTGCAGGAGGCCTGCCCGGGGGCAGGGGGTGTTATCCTAGATGGTGGAGGGCCAGCTCACAGGCACAGCTGGGAGTCCTAGGACTGACCCTGCCAGGTAAGACCACACGGATTTCCAGGCCTGAGGGCCAGGGGGAGTGGTACAGGGTCACTCGGCAGGGCAGCTGGGGAGCCTGTGGGTGGGGGGTGGGTCTGAGTCCTGCCTCCACCTGCCAGCTGTATGCTGTGGTCTCCATGGGTGGGGCCCAGGCCGACTGCCCACTCCTTTTCATATTCTGTGTCCATGTCCACTGCCATGTGCAGAAGTCCCCAGGGCAGGAACACACGCAACGGCCCCTCTGAGGAGACCCCAGACCCCAGACCACATGCCTCAGCCCTTGCTCTAGTTCTGTGGACCACAGCCCCTCAGGCCAGCCAGCTGGACGCTGGGTCCAAAGTTGGGCCCTGGGATCCCAAGACCAGTCCACCTCCAGCTCTGAGTGCCCGGGGAGCCTGCTCTCTGCAGGGCGACGGCTGGTTCCTGCCCCTGCGTCCAGGCACAGGCTTGCAGGAAGCCTCTAAGGGGAAGCTCCCCACCCCCCGAGGCTGGGGCAAGATGAGGGCAAAGCTAGTGGGGAAGCTGGAGAGAGGCCGACATTGCGAAGTGGCCCGCAGAAGCTGGAAGTTTCCTGCAGGACGGGGTGTGGAGAGCGGGGTGGAGAAGGGCCGGGTCTCCCTGCCAAGCATCCCCGGGACAGGGCGCTGCGCTCAGGGGTACGGCCGGGTCCAGGAGTGCCCTGCGGCCTGCCTCGCTCTTGTCTTCCCTCCCTGCTGTCTGGTTATTGAGGTGCTGATCCAGGCTTCATGGCCGTGTGGGCAGAGTGTTGTGGCCATGGCTACAGCATGTTCTGCAAACTTCCCTCTCGGGTTCGGTTTCCGTGGCTCTGGCTGGCCTTTTCTTAACTTCTTCCCTCTGTGGCTCAGGAGGGAGCACCTGCAGCCCCCCAGGCCCTTGGCAGGTGAGGCAGCAGTTCCGGAGGGGTCTGGGGGGTCCTGGATGGACCTGGGCTCTGCTGGGACGAGGTCATCCCCACCCCCACCCCTGAGTGGACAGTTATGTCAGTCACAGGAAGTGTGGCAGTTTGTTGCAGCTGATGTGGCGTGCCCTCCACGTTGACAACCTTGCATCTGCTCTTGTGGCCCTGGGAGGCAGAGCTGCCACTCATCAGCCGTGTCGCTGGGGTGGGGGCAGCCGGTGGCCCTGGACCTGTGCGTTCTCTCTAGGCCTGCAGCGCTGGCACAGTTCCCTTTTCTGAATCAAGGAGCCACGTGGCCACGCATTTGCTCAGCCGTGGATGCTTCTTATGCACAGGGGCCGTTGGCAGAAAGCACAAGGTTCTAGAAGGTTTATAGGAAGCATTTTGCTGAGCTCGGGGCATGGACCTGAGGCCCAGGACCGGGCAGAGTGAGCAGGATGGAGCGTTCCTGGCTCGTCCCGCCATAGCCTCTGTGTTCCCAGACAGCCCTCCGCAAGATCAAGGAGTCTGGGCCTGGCGTGCTCACCAGCCCTCGGGCAGCTGTCCTTGTCGGGTCGCCGCCTCTAGCCAGACTTGCTCATTCTGTGTCCCCACCAGCTGTAGAGGAAGGCACTTCACCCGCCTCACTGGCAGTGCCTGCCAGCTCAGGGCCTGGGGGGCCTCCAGGGCCCAAGGAGGAAGCCTGCAGCACCTAGCCCCACACAGGCTCATAGCCGACTGGTGGCCTGCACGCTGAGGGGCCTTTCTTGGCTTGCTGTGGTCATGGGAGGCCAGGGGGCTGCACCGCGTTCTAGGTACGGGCCACCCTTCCCAAGCGGGTCAGCCTCAGCTGGCCTTCCGGTGTTTCTTTCTTTCCTTTTTTTTTTTTAAAAAGATTTTATTTATTTATTTGACAGACAGAGATCACAAGTAGGCAGAGAGGCAGACAGAGAGAGAGAGGGAAGCAGGCTCCCTGCTGAGCAGAGCACCCGATGTGGGGCTCGATCCCAGGACCCTGGGGTCTTGACCTGAGCCGAAGGCAGAGGCTTAACCCACTGAGCCACCCAGGTGCCCCCGGTGTTTCTAACTGGACTTCTCATGGGAGCTCTTGGGCTCACCAGGAAGAGGCCCCCAATGGCCAGGTGGGCAGGTGACCTTTCATGGCTTTGACCACAGAAGGGAATAAAGCTCCTTTGTGTGGGCCCCTTCGGACGGTGGCTGTCAGGGGTTGTTGAAAGCTTTGCTCCCACGTCCGGCTGTCCTGCTAGCGCCCTTGGGCAGGCACATGGATGCTGGCAGCGAGCCCGAGCGCGGAGGCACAGGGATACTGTGGGCCCACGTGGCTCACCCGGGATGGGGCATCTGGAGGCCACAGCAATGCCGCGGGGCAGGCACACCCCCAGGGGCTCCACGGGCGGCAGCCGGCTAGGCATAGGCCAGCAGCTGGCCCGGCTCGAATGAGCCATTTGGATTGTGTTCCTCTGGGCCTCCCTAGTAGGCCAGCAGGGCTGTTTGCTCGGAAGTCCCTGACAGGCCTGCTGCCCTCAGGATGGGCACATGGGGACGGACGCCGGGGTGAGTGCTCACAGGGCGGGTTTGGTCTAGGCCCAGGGAGGGGCACTGGGTAGACGGGCTGTTCTCTTCAGGTTTGGAACCCGGGAAGAGACAGATGCCCGAGCCCACAGGGTCCCGCATCGGGGGCAGATGGGCCCTGAGCAAGTGCAGATGCCCGCCCCCCACCCCCTGGCCCTGCCACGACCTCATGGTCTTGTTCTGGATAGAAAAGTAGCCGAGAGGGAGAGCCAGTGAGCTGCCCTCCAGGCCGGCCCCTCCACGCTGCTTTCTCCAGCGGGTGAGGCCACTGGGACCGGTCTGCTCTGTTGTCTTGGCTTCTGGATCACTCCAGGGACATTTTAAGAACCAGGAAGTGGGGGGGCATGATGTTGAGGGGTCCCTGGCCCATTTCCCAGTGGAGTGCCTCCCCCAGCCTAGCCGAGGCAGGGTCTGGCGTCTGGCTTCTGGATTGACAGAGCTGGGTGTATTTTTAGCACAGGACCCTATTTCCCACTGGACTCATATGTGAGCGCAGAGGGCAGCAGAGGGGTGCCCCAGAGTCCCACCCATGGTACCCCTTGGACACCAATATCTAGCTTGAAATCTGTGGTCCCACCTCTTCCCCGTGCACGTGGAGGGTGGGCCCAGACGGCGCCCCAGCCCCTCTGCCTGCAGAGTTCTCTACTGCACTGCACGCCCCGTGGAGAACCAGCCAGCGTGTTGGACCTGGAATTCCCAAACCAGCCCCAGATGGGGCCTGGCCTACAGATATGGGTCTGCTGGGAGACGGAAGGCCAGGCTGTTGGAACCGGACTCATTCACCCCAAACCCCCTCGTGGTCCTGGCGAACCTCTCATCAGCTGTGTCTGCTGGTGGGACTGTGGCCTCTTCGAGGGCAGCGGCCATGGAGGGATGGTCCCGCCGCAGGCCTGGCCAGGCAGAGGGCCTCCTCCTCCTGACTGTGGAAAAGTACATGGTGGTTTGCAAGGGGGATGCTCGCACATGGGCATGCCGGCCAGAGGACGTGGACATGGTGGCCTTACCTCCCTCCCAGGCAGTTCCAATGGCTCCTTATTGGGACATTGGGAACTTGCTGGTCACTCTGCTGTTTACTACCCATCAAGGGGCAGATGTCACGGGCATGAGCCCTTCTTCCTTGAGGAAACAGGCTCCAAGAGGCCCGGCCACACCCTCAACCAGAGGTGCCCACGGTCAGCCGTGCGCCCCACAGACGGCAGGGGCAAGCTCACACTCCCCGGTGAGTCCCCAGAACGACTCCCACGGTCAGCCGTCCACCCTGCTGGGCGGGGGCAACCTTGACGTGCCCCTGGCCAGCTCTTCCCCTGGAGAGGCGGGCCTGGTGCCAGGTTGGGGCCTGCCTGTGGGGTGACAGACGCATCTCATTAGGCCCATCGTCTGCTTCCTGGCTTGGGCGCCACCTGCCGGCGAGCAGGTGTCCTCAGACGTAGGAGGTCGTTTTTCCTGGGGGAGAGGCCGGCCACCTGCCCCGTGCCCTACTGGGGACGTCTGGTGCGGGTGGGACCCCTGAGCTCCCCGCCCACCGCCTGAGGCATTGCCAGCCACCCCGAAGCCCCTGCCGCCGCAGCACCCCTGCCCATCTCCTGCCCACATGAACGGCACCCACAGCTCCTCCCTCTCTCATCATAGAAAAGTCCGCTTTGTCTCTGAGAACAGTTCTTGATTTCCAGAGTCTCTCTGAAGGGTCCAGGGTCCCCTATGCCCAGGGCACCTCCTGCCACACCTGTCCGTGTCCTGCCTTCGTCCTGTCAGCAAATGTCAACATGGCACGAGGAGCCAAAGCCCATCGTTCGTGGAGATCCTACTGTTTGTTTTGACGCCCAGGACCCCACTTGGGGTCCCACGTGCATGGGGTTGTTGTCTCCCCCAGCTGATGCAGTTTCTGACTTGCCTGGTGTCAGGGCCAGTCACAGAGCATGGGCCAGGAGTCTGAAGGATGATCCCTGTGTGGACACCTGCCCAGGTTCTCCAAGAGCCGACTGCCCTGAAGGCGCCGTGTCCCCTGCCCGAGGTCCTCTGCTGGGCAGACACCGCTTTCCTGGGCACCCTCCGGGGACCCACTGTCCGGCTCCCACCCTGTGGGAGGCCCTCCCTCGGCCTCAGCCCCAGCGCCCCCTGGGCGGCTTACTGAGCTGTCAGCTGCTTGGGACCTGGGTGCTCTGGTCCAGTCCCAGAGGGTACAACCCTCCAGCTGCCGCCCATTTTACCTGGCTGGTTGTTCCCGGTCCTGCTGCTGTGAGAGGCTGGTTCGCAGTCTCAGCCACAGACCTGGGGACGGGGGTGTTTGGAGGAGGCCGTGCTGCTCCTCTAGGCCTGACGCGGCCCCTTCTGTCCTGCAGGCCCGAGTGCCAGGCGTGGACGGGGACGCTGCTGCTGGGCACGTGCCTGCTGTACTGTGCCCGCGTCAGCATGCCCGTGTGCGCCGTGTCCATGAGCCAAGACTTCGGCTGGAACAAGAAGGAGACCGGCACTGCGCTCAGCAGCTTCTTTTGGGGCTACTGCCTGACGCAGGTGGTGGGCGGCCACCTGGGGGACCGGTGAGCTGCGCTGCTCCCCACGCGGGGTTGGGGCTGCCTTGGGGCCGGGGCTCCTGCAGATTGAATGTGCACCTGCCCACCCCCCACCAAGCAACACATGAGCTGGGAGAGCCGAGCTCCACGGGGGAGGCCGGAAGGGTGGTGCGGGCAGGTGCACAGCTCCCCCGGGGGCTCTCAGCACCCTGAGGAGCCCCCGGCAGCCCAGTGCGGTGCTTGTTGGGACAGATGGACAGGCTGGACTGCACTCCTACCGTCGGCCTCTTCTGAAGAGGAGGACAAGGCAGAGCCTGTGTGGGCTCTGGCTGTGGTTTCTGCGGGTGGGATCTTCTCAGCCTGCCCGGCTGTCCGGCCTCCGCGCTCCTGTCACTGTCCCCCTGTCCTTCCTCAGGATCGGCGGGGAGAAGGTCATCCTGCTGTCCGCCTGCGCCTGGGGCTTCCTCACCGCCGCCACCCCTCTGCTCACCCACCTCAGCGGCGCGCACCTGGTCTTCATGACCTTCTCGCGCATCCTCACGGGCTTGCTCCAAGGTAGGGCTGCCTTGTAGCGTCCCTCCTGGTCTCAGCCATGGGCGAGCAAAGCAGGTGCACACGTTGTCCACACGCGTGTGTGAGTGCACATGCGTGCACATGCCTGTCCTCACGAGTGCTCCCACGTGGGATGGGCCCTAGATCAGAGGAGGCATGTCCACGGCCCTGTGTGGCCGTTGATAGGGTGGCGGGAGCTTCGGGCCTGGCTGTACGGCCCTGGGCAGGGCAGCGGGAGTGCGGACCGCGCTGGCAGACGCCCGCTCTCAGTGACTCTCACCGGCTGGTTTGCCTGCCCTGGAGACACCTCCCAGCCTGGCACATTCTAACATCAGACGCCCTCCTCTGCTCCAGAGACATGGCGGCAGCCAGCCTGGTGTGTGGGAACTGTCGCCACCATGGCCTGCGGCGCAGTGGGGATTTGCTGAGTGTCCGCGTGTTGTGGGCACAGGCTGCCCCCGGGGCCAACCCAGGACCGACACCTCTCCCAATGTGCTAACCAGCCCTGGCAGTCTGGCTTACCGGCCGTTGGCCCCTGCAGGAGCCGGCTCTCGGGGTGCCCAGCCAGGTGGCCCTCAGCTCAGGCCATGTCCCCATCTTCCCAGGAGGCCAGTCTGTGGCCCAGTACAGGGGGCTCGAGGGGCAGCCATCACTCTGGGTGACTGGCACTTGGTGGGGGCTGGAGGGGCAGAACCCTAATGGGAAGGCGAAGTCCCATCTCACCCGCTGGCCTCTTAGTTCTTCCTGGTATTTTAGAGAAAAGCATGGAAAAGGGAACCACAAAATCAGATTTTGAAAATCAAAATCAAAATCAGATTGAAATCATTGTAGACTCACAGGAAGTTGTAAGGAAACTTCAGCCAAGCTCCCTTCCTGCCCCCGCACGGCGATGGCCCTGGGGGTGTTCAAGGCAGGGTCACACGGGGCGCTGCGGCTGCACAGGGCTGTGCATGGACCTTGGACGCGAGTGGGCGCGAGTGTGGGCATGAGTATGCACATGAGTGTGGACGCGAGCGTGGGCGTGCGTGGGCATGAGTGGGTGTCCATGCCAGGACACAGGCTGGTGCGGCTTGGGAGCCCCAGCTGGGACCCAAAGTCCCTCCCACGGCCTGCACTGCGAGTGTGCTGCTGGCCGGACTGTGAGTGCAGCTGTTTCCCACGCGGGACGCGGGGAGTCTAGCTGAGTCCTGCTGGTCCTTGGGGGTGAGGTCGGCAAGAAGGACACCCCAAACTCGACTCGTCCCAGCCTGGCTCCCACCCTGGCTGGCCCCCCTCACAGGACCCAGGTGACTCTTGGGGGACACAGCTCTCCGCTCGTTTCAGGCGTGTACTTCCCGGCGCTGACCAGCCTGCTGTCCCAGAAGGTGCGAGAGAGCGAGCGAGCGTTCACCTACAGCACCGTGGGGGCCGGCTCCCAGTTTGGGTGAGTCCTGGCCCAGGGACCCTGGGCGACACAGGGTGTGCCCGTGGGGTCCGGGCAGGGACAGGCCACGTGGGTGCATATGCAGCTCAGGGTGACATGGGAGGCTGGTTCTGGGCTGCAGGAGACCTGCCATCCCTGTGCTTCTCGGTGCATGTTCCGTCCCCGGTGCCTGGGCCAGTGGCGTGGCTTTGAGGCCCGTGGGCCGGGGCAGTGGCCAGTCCACTGAGGCTCCTTCCATCTGTGCTCGGGGGGTGGCAAGAGAGGGTGCAGTCCGCTGGGGGCACAGGGCGTGGTCCTGACGTTATGCCCGTGCTCCCGCATGGAGGCCTCACTCAGGGAGAAGGGCCATGTCATTGTGCTGACGGGGCCTCAATGCCCCAGGGCTCAGGCCCCCGATGCCACGGCCCCCAGGACGGAGACAGGAAATCGGAGGGCCGGGGGATGCTGCGGGTGGGCCAGGAGCCACCCAAATAAAACCCAGGGTACCCGTGCCGTGGGAATTCTGGACAAGCTGCATGGGGCAAACTTGTACCACGAAGGATGTGCCGTTTTCCTGAAACCCTGCCTCAGCGGGGGGCCCTGGGCTGTGTCATGGACTGGGAGGCACCGGGAGAGACTGCCCACGGAGGTGCTGAGGGGAAGGCACTCCCGCGCCTGCCGGCCCTGCCCTCCCTCCTCCTTCCCCTCTTTAACTGTCCTGGCTGTGGCTCTGCGGATGGCCTGGCATGCAGGAGGGCCGGCCCCACGGGGGCACCTGGAACCCCGGAGCCGCCAGGCGTCCAGCTGTTGTGCTCGGCTGTGCTGCTTCTGGGTTTAGGAATCGCAGAATGTCGGCTTGTGTGCCTGTGAGATGGATAACAGGGGGTTCCCTTTGAGTCCCCTACACTGTCCTTTTTTCTCTGCCGCCTTTTTAGTTTAGAAGTCACACTACCATGGGGACCGGCTTGCGGGCGGGGAGCAAGGAATTAGAGCAGTGCGGGGATCCCGGGTCCAAGGCATCCGGAAGTCTCCCCAAATTCTCCAAACCCCTCACAAAACATGCTCAGATGGGGCCTTCTGAGCCTGCTTCCCTGGTGGCAAGGTCCCACGGGGCAGGGGGCGGGGGTTCTCAGAGGCATCACCTGGCCTGAGTGGAGCCTGGGGTCACGGCCACACCACTGTCTGTCCTCCAGGATGCTGGTGACAGGGGCCGTGGGCTCCCTCCTCCTGGACCGGTACGGCTGGCCGAGTGTCTTCTACTTCTCGGGTGGCCTCACACTGCTGTGGGTGTGTTACGTGTACAGGTGCCTGCTGAATGGAGAAGGTACCGTGGCCAGCAAACACAGCTGCCCCGGAAGGGGTGAGGGCCAGGCGCCCGTCCCCTCCATAGCCGCTCACCGTCCGCTGGACGCAGGACCCCGAGCTGCGGCTTTGCCCCACTTGGAGCCTGAGGAAAGTGCCCACTCTCAGGCCCATGCAGGCGTGCAGGGACCGCCGCCCCCCAGGCACGGGCAGCTGGGGGGGGCAGCTGGTCTGAGGGTGGCAGGAAACAGGGCTTGGGAGATCAGAGGGCAGGGGAAGGACTGAGGGTCCACACAAGTGTGGGGCCTCCAAGGTAAATGCCGACAGCCCAGGATGCGTGCGGGGAGGACGGCGTGGTGGGGCCCACACACAGGCTGGGCCCGCGGGAGCCGCCCCCACAGGAGCCCGTTGGCAGCAAGCCGGGCTGTGCCCTGATGGTGAGGATCTTTCATGTGCAAATGCCCTGTTCCCCTCAGACCTCATCCTGGCCTTGGGCATCTTGGCGCAAGGCCTGCCGATGTCCAGGCACACCAAAGTTCCCTGGAGACGGCTTTTCCGGAAGCCTTCAGTCTGGTGAGCATCGGGACCACAGTGCGTGTGGGGGTGCGGCGGGACAGGGTCGAGCGTGGTGGGTCTTGGGTGTTCCCTGGTGTGAGTCCACCCCTGGCTCCTGACCTCCATGCCTGGGCCCTGTGGGGCATGTGGGGGGCCGTGCTCACAAGAGCCCCCCTTGGGCAGGGCTGGGGTATAGACGGACGCTGAGCCTGGCACCTGTCCGCAGGGCAGCCATCTCCTCCCAGCTGTCGTCGGCCTGCTCCTTCTTCATCCTGCTCTCCTGGCTTCCCACCTTCTTTCAGGAGACATTCCCCAGCTCCAAGGTGGGTGAGCCGTGCCAGCACTCTCAGGGACAGGGAGCGCCGCCGACCAGGGCTGGGACTCGGTGTTGGCTCCAGCATGCGGACGTGGCCCTGTGATGTCCACCCCCAGCCTCATGGCTGGCACTTGGGCCTGGCGGGGCAGCGTCCTGCCACCACGGCCCTTGCTCCCGGGATGGACCCTGAACGCTGCCCCTACAGCTTGGCAGCCGTTCTGTGGATGGTCGTTTCTGAGGGTGGGCCAGCGGGGTCGGGATGTGGGCAGGGGTGTCCCCTGCCGGGCAGCCTGGTATACACCAGCCCAGCCATCCGGCCACCCTCCCCATCTGGTGACCAGGACCCCCCAAGGCACCTGCAGCTCCGCCAGGTCACGGTGTGGGGAGCCACAGGGGAGGCTCGGCCTGCAGGGAGACCGCGCTGGTGGGCCCAGAGCTTGGCCAGTGGGGGGACCGTCAGGGCCAAAGAGGTCCCAAGCCCAGGAGCCCAGCCTGTGTGGGGGAGAGACTTCCTGGGCATCAGTGGCCTTGGGCAGCCGCCTGGCCCGTGCAAACTGTCCCCTCTGAGGCCTCTCTCCTTCCTGCAGGGTTGGGTCTTCAACGTGGTGCCCTGGCTGGTGGCGATTCCCGCCAGTCTGTTCAGCGGGTTTCTGTCTGACCATCTTATCAATCAGGGTGAGCTGCGGGGGAGGGGCCACTGGGAACCAGCCCGGACTTTGCCACACTTGGGGGGCAGGAGGCAGCCCTCATGGGGAGTTCTACAAGGATGGGAAGGGGCCTTGCCCCTGAGGACCTCCTGTCAGCATGAGACCCCAGCCTCAGTTTCCCTGGGGGAGTGGGGCACCGTGAGAGGACCTGAGTCCTGTGGCCGTGGCATTCCTCCCCAGGGGCTGGATGCGGCCCTGACCTTCTTCAGAGGAGGAGAGGTCATCTGATGGGGTCAGAGGTCATAGGTCGGGGTGGGCTATGTGCGTGAGCCCCAGTGAGCACCCCCTGAGGGTGAAGAGCTTGGACGTGCTTGGACATTAGTCCTTCCTGATCACCCAAGTGCTGTCCAAGCACGGTGGGAGGAGGAGACGCTGTGGAGACACGTGCAGAAAGCGCGTCGGTGACCGTCCCAGCCGCCTTCCCTCTGTGCGTCTGCTGCACCGCGTCCTGGAGGGTCCTCTAGGGGCACGCCCAGTGCAGGGCTTGCACATGGACACACACATGTGGACGCACTGACACGTGGGCTCCCGCACTCACACTGCACCTGTGGTCACACGCGCACGCACACACACGCGCACGCACGGCACCTGTCCACATGACTCAATGCATTCACGCGCTCACACGTGCGCGCACATGCTCACAAGCGCCCACATCGCACCTGCACACGAGACACACACTCATGCACACGTGTGCACCGAGCCCACAGGACACCGGGAGCAGGTACATACTCACGTGTGTACACACGCGTCCTGCACAACGAGGGACACCCTACCTCGAGCCCAGGGCCTGTCCCTCCCCTCCCTGCTCCCTCTCTGCAGCCTCGCCGGCTGGGACCCACCAGGGGCCATCAGGGGCTCAGCACAAATGGGCCGATGGGACCGTCTCCCCGTCTCCCTCTGCTCAGGTTACAGGACCATCACCGTGCGGAAGTTCATGCAGGTAGAGAGGGGGTGGGATGAGCCTCTTTGGACACCCGTTTGGTTCCTGGGACCCGAGGGATTTGACCTCCAGTTACCTGACCCAGAAGGCATTTGGAGGGTGCCCTAGATCAGTGCTGGGGGCTGGCTTGGCTGACTTGAGCGCTTCTCCCAGCTGTGTTGGTGGGTTCTCTGTGCCGCCGAGCCTGGCACCATGTCCGGGCCTGGCTGCTCCCATTCCCCTCTCAGTCTGACCAGTGGGGCTGGCTTATCATGGAGCCTTGCGTCACACATCCCCAGGAGCGGGGGGCTTTCCAGTGTCTGCCACGGCCTGTGCCCTGCCACCCCCCTTCTCCCGCAGGTGATGGGCCTTGGGCTGTCCAGCGTGTTTGCCCTGTGTTTGGGTCACACCTCCAGTTTCTGTACGTCTGTGGTCTTTGCGTCTGCGTCCATTGGCCTGCAGACCTTTAACCACAGGTAAGTGCCGGGCACCCCCCACCAGATCTGTCCCATGCTGCCCACGGGCACCTGGCAGCATCCCTGGCTGCTGGCATCTGGGTGTGTGGGAGAAGACACCTGGCTCAGGCTCACCTGAGAGCGAGCCACGGGGGCCCACGTTTTTCCAGGTATCAAGCTTGCGTGGACCCGAGATATTGGGAAAAACTAGATTTGCAGCTAGGGAGGGGCTGGGGAGGAGTGCCCTCTGGCCCCTTTCCTCTGGTTCAGTGGCCCTCCTGAGGTGCTCAGCAGGCCCAGCATTTGACAAGGAAGATGTCACTGGAAATTGTTTTAGCAATCAGCCGCTTAATGGTTTTCAAATTAGTAGACAGCAAGTGACTGTGCATTCGAGCAAGCTTGTCTTCCCATTGTTCGTTTCATCCTGGGAGTGGACTCCTGCACTGTGTCATGGTGGGAATGGGACAGCAGGGTGGGCACGATGGCCTGAGTGGGGCTGTGCCCCTAGTGTGGTCTTGAATCCCGGTGCCCCAGCGTGGCAGGCCGGCCCTGGCTGGGCTCAGGTCTGAGGACCCACTTGGCAGTTTCTAGGCTCCAGGTGCTCAGAGGACAGCCCTGGGCGTAGGGGAGTGGTGGCCATCCCGTGGTCACTGCTTTCCTCTCTCCCGTAGTGGCATTTCAGTCAACATTCAGGACCTGGCTCCATCCTGTGCCGGCTTTCTGTTTGGTGAGAACCTCTGGCCCCTGTTTGAATAGGAAGTGACTGTTCCCCCCCAGGCATCCCTCACCCAGCCTCACCCCTCCCTGGGCCCCTAGGGACCGTCCCAGGGTAGGGGGGCCTCCTGTGACCTCCTCTGTCCTATTCACAGGTGTGGCCAACACAGCTGGGGCCTTGGCAGGTGAGAGGCAGGTGTGGTGCCTCCTGGTGGCCCCGCCCCCATGTCTCCCCACCCCTCAGGTACCCCAGCCCTGCAGTGCCACACCAGTGGGGAGGGGAGAGTGCAGACCTTGGAGCTGGCAGGGCGAGAACCCAGCCACTTTCCACGGTGTTCACTTTTCTGATGGCATACCCCAGCCCCCATGAGACCCACAGATGTGAGTCAAATCCTTGAGGCCCAGGGTTCGCGGGGTTGAGTGTCTGGATGATAATGTCGGGGCTCATTCTCCATGGGGGCTGGAGAGGGACCTGTTGGAGGGGGGCAGTATCTTGGGCAGCCCATGAGGTCTCTGGCCCTCCGAGACCCTCCGAGGCCGGCCTTCCCTCAGCCTGGCGGTGTGGACCCCTGAGTTCAGGTTCTGTCCCTCAGGCCGCCCCTGGCCTCTCCTCCTGGAGCCCCGGCACCAGATGCCCTCCTCGGGACCACCTTGGAGTGCTCGGCCTGTCTGCCCCATTCGCTGCAGGTGTCGTGGGCGTGTGCCTGGGGGGCTATCTCCTCGAGACCACAGGCTCCTGGACATCCATGTTCAACCTGGTGGCAGCCGTCGGCAGCCTGGGGCTGTGCACGTTCCTGCTGTTTGGAGAGGCCCAGCGAGTGGACCTGAGCCCTGCCCACGAGGACCTCTAGCTGCCCCTGTCCTACGGTTCCTTCAGTGCCATCTCCCTTGGGTGACAGGCTGTTTGCGAGCCTCCCGCTCCGGACGGAGCAAGCAGAGGGAGGGTGAGCCGTAGCCGAGTCGGGCAGCTCTGGGGGGAGCCTCGGTTTCTCCAGCGAGGTGATCGCGCCCTCCTCCAGGGCTCGTGGACTGTCAGTGGGGAGAGGAATTAGTATTTTTAATAGTGGCTGTGTCGTCACACACGCAGTCTGTTCCATGTAGATCCACGTGCCCCCGAGGTCATGACGGTGGGAGGGTTTCCCGTCACTGCAGGGGCTGGGGTACCGCTGGCCGAGACTCACCCCCCCACCCCCGGCACGTGAGGCCGGATCATTCTTCGTGGGGAGAGGGGGACTGTCCTGTGCACTGTGGTTGCATACCTGGCCCCCACCTACAAGGTGACCCCACCCCCACTCATGACAACCAGCATCACCACGTGTCCCCAGGGGAACCACCCATGGGTGGGAACCACAGCTCTCATGAAGGCCATTAGCAGCTGTGGCATCAATGCTTCTTCAGGAAGCCAGACTGAGACCCCGATTCAGTGGGCGGGCCGTGGACTAGATGCCCATCTTTGGGGACCTACCCCGCCTCCCCTGTGGGTCCTTGGCACTGGCGAAGTGTTCTGCCTCCCTGGCAGCCACTGACGCCAGCATAAGGGGACTGTGGGTCTCTCTCCTGCCCAGGGTGCTCCCTGGGATCAGAGAGCCTCCCGCATAGTCCTTCTCTCCTAACAGAGGAACTGGTCGCCTTGGGGATTAATAAAAGGTCCTGCAAGATGTATACATAGAAAACAGAAACTGAGAACGTCGAAGAATCACCCCGGATTTATTTAAATGATGGCTATTAAACTGGAAAAGGAAGACTGTTACTTTATTACTCTTTCTTTTTTTTTTAAAGAATAACCACTAGGAGGAGAGCTTTGTTGGGCTCGCAGCCCAGAAAGCCTGCAGAGGTTGTGGGCAGGTGGAGGAGAATGAGCAGGGGAGAGGGGAGGGGAACGAGCAGGGGAGAGGGGAGGGGTGACTAGTGCTCCGCTGCCTGCCGCAGGCACCCCCAGAATCGGGCCTCAGGGCCGGGGAGCACTCCACAAGGATGGCGGGCATCTTTCCCTGTTTCTCCCTCTGCTGGATCAGAAAGAACATGAAAGAAAGATTCCTGGTTCCCAGATTGTTCTCTGGCCTCCGTGGCTTTGACCGGGGATGCACTAGGAATATTACTTTTCCACAAAGGCCTTCGCGGTCCTTGGTTGGAGGTTTTACTGAACCACCGTGGTGGGCGATGGTGGAGCCCAGCCCCGGAGACTCCCCGCGGCCAGAGTCCCGCGGCACCCGGCATGGTCGGTCCTCGGTAGCTGTAGCTGGGCTCTCCTTGTTCCCGGGCGTGCACCGAGTAGGGTCCTAGCACAGCCGTCCCCACCAACCGTTTCCGGAATCTTCCACCCTCCCCACCTGAAATTCTGTCCCCGTTAAACGACATTCCCTTGCCCTGCTCACAGCCACTTGTGCCCACTGTCCACATTCTGTCCCCGTGGATGTGGAGGCTCTGGGTCCCTCACAGCATCGGACTTGGGCAGTAAGTGTCCTTCTGTGACTGGCCTGTTCCACGGAGCGTGATGGCTCCAGGTGTGTCCACCTGGAAGCAGGCGCCAGAGTTCCCCTCCCTTTCCAGGCGGAGCCATACTCCACTGGGTGGACAGGCCACATTTTGTGCCTCCGTTCCTCCGTGGACGGACACGGGTTGTTTCCACCTCTCGGCTGCTGTGAACGTGGGCGTCTCTAACCCGTAGCGAGCCGTAAGCTCTTTGAGGGCATAACGAGGAGGTGGCCCTTCCCACCCTTCCTCGGTCTTGCAGGGTCTAGGACTTTGAGCCCCTGAACGAATGTGGGACTCAGGAGGCGAAGGTGGGTCTGGTCAGAAGGGGAGCCTGAGACTCATGTGTGTCAGCCAAGGCCCTGGCCTCTTGAATGCCACAGGGGTCCCCTTGGGTCACTTCCTCAACATCGGAGGAGGGAGGCTGGTACGTGGGATTTGGGGGACACAGGCCTGGTGCCCGGCAGAGGGGCCCAGCTCCTCCCAGCACTGCCGTTCCTGGTCTGGAGCATCCTGGAGCCGGGTGTGCTCTCCATACCCCACCCAAGGTCAATGGTGGACCTCGGTCAGGCCTCCCCAGAGTCTGGGGGACATGGCTGCCGGCAGGGAGGGTGCTGGTGGCAAGGGGGTGCTGGAGGGTGGTGGGCGGCAGCCCTGGGCGGAGTGCTAGATGCCACACGCGGGTTGGGACACATTCCTGCCCTGGCCGCTGCTCCGGCAGGTCGCACCGGCGGATGGGGACGGGTCCAGCGGCACATGGGCGGGGGACCAAGAGCGCAGAGCTGTGGCCACCTCCTTCAGCACACACTGAACCGAGCCGCCCAACCACTGCTGAGCCCAGAGGAGGGGCTCCAACCCCCTGGGTTCTGGAGTGGGGCGTGCACCTGCGCTTGGGGCACCTGGGTGCGCCTTGGGAGGCCCAGGCTGCTGCCGCCCACAGCTGGCCGACAGAGGGCGCCGTCGGACAGGGCTGTGTCCCGAGGCTGGTCCAGGGCCAGACCCTGGTCTGCTGTCCTTTTGGTGCCACGTGAGGACCACCTCCCGGCCTCCAGCCCCGTCCATCCCCGGCTCCGGTCTGGCGGCTCAGCGCCCTCAGCAGGCGGAGCTCCCAGTGCTGGGCTGCACCCTGGGGACTGTTGAGAGGACGATGCGGCGCAGGGGTCGTGTGGCCACCGCAGCAGGGGCGGGGGGTGGGGGGCGGCGCTGGGACGGATTAACTGGCCAGGGAGTGGAGCTCCAGGGCTCGTCCCCCTCCCCCTTCCCCAGGGCTGGGGACCCTGTGTCCTCAGGGGCACAGACTTCCTTGAGGGAGGCACTGGGACTGTGGGAGTTCAGACGCGGGGAACAGTGGCCTCCAAGGGAGATCCCGCCAGTGCTGGTCCCGGCTGCCTCCCGGGGGCCCTCCCTTCATCTCCCACCCATGTACAGGACCGTCCTCTCCTGGTCACCACAAAGGACATTTTTCCCTCATTTCTCACTTTTTTTCTTTCTTTTTTTTTTAGAAAGAGAGTGTGAGCTGGGGAGGGGGCGTGGGAGGAGGGGCAGAGGGAGAGGGAGAACCCCAAGCAGGGTTCTGCTCAGAGCAGAGCCGGGAGGACTATTGGATCTCACAGCCCTGAGGCCACCAGCTGAGCCACAATCAAGAGTCTGATGCTCAAAGGACTGGGCCCGGGCGCCCCTCCCTCGTGTCTTTAATAGGCACTTAAGATTCGTAATTAACATGGGAACAGCCCCCCACTTCTCTCCTTGCCCTCCTTGGCCCTGTTTCTGGCTTTGTCCTTCCTCTGTAGGACTAGAGTGCCCTGGGGTTCCCCACTTGCCCCCTCGGGGACTCCTGGACCTGCTCCCTCCCGCTGGGTCCTCCCTCAGAACCAGGGAGACTTGCGGAGGCCTCCCCAGGCTGTGCTCTGTCCCGACCATCTGCAGTGGGTCATTCCGTCACCCTCTTCCAGCGCCCGAGGAAGGAGAGATGAGCGGCTCATTGGGCGGCACTTTCGCGGGGATTTACTTTATTATGTTTAATTGAAAAGCGTTGAGGTGGCTGCATGAATATTCAGCACAGCTGCTGCTGGCGCGGGAGCGGGTCTGATCCTGGGACGCGCCCCAGCACGGGACCTGTCACGGGGGAGTGAGGTGGGGAAGCTATTAATTGAAATAGCTTCATTAATTAGTAATTAACAGCAGGGAGATGACTGTGTCGCACGTCCTATTTCAGCGGATGCCCTTCATGTGTTATGGGGCCTTTAATTAAAGGACGTGCATTTTAATTAAAGGCAAGCATGGCCCTTTGGCCTACACTCCCAAGTTTCAAAGAAGCCGTCGGGGAGGCTGGTCCAGGTGGCGGAGAGTCGCGTCCTCCGTGTTGGACCCCTTCGCCCTCTAGGCCTTCCCTGGGCAGTGACCCCGGGCTGATCCCTCTTCGAGCCTGGCTAGCGCCCTTCCTGAGCCCATGGTGGTGGCCTTTGGGGCTGTGAGTAGGGGCTGGGTGCTGGGCGGAGACGCCCTAGGCCAGTGCTGAGCCTGCACTGTCCACTTGCCCCAGGCTCCACATCTCTGCCTGTCCTGAGTGACCCGTGGGAGGACTGGGACCAGCACTTACCCACAGCTGTGCCTAGAACCGGTGGGGGTGGGCCAGGGTGGGGGACACTCAGCCTGCTCCTAATATCCTGGGATCCAGGTGGGGTGTTTCCTCTCACTGGCCAGGGCCCAGCAGGCAGATCTGAGCCTGCCAGCCAGTGGTCACCTGCAGAGACCTCGGGGTCCCCTCCTGACAACAACGATGTAACTGGGCAGCTCAGGACCCACACCCCTGTCCTGCTCTCTCCGTCTCTGCCTCTGTCCCCCAGAGTGTCCTGTGCCCGTCACCCCGACCACCTCCTGAATGACATTTGCCGAGCTCACAGAGACAGCTGGGTCTGAGCCTGGGGGGTGGGGCAGAGGGTAGACTCCAGGCCCCGCATGTCCTCCCAGCCTTCAGACGGGATGCCTGGGGTCGCTCGGATGTACCTCCCCTTTGCCCTGTCTATATTGTCCACCTCGAGATCTTGGCCCGGCCTCTGTCTCTGCCTAGATCACCCCTCCCCCGCATCCAGCAGACGGGTGCTTGCACACACACGTACACATGCATACCTGTACACGCAGACACACACACCCAGCACTGGTGTGGTGGAGGTTCCCACTAGACAGGGGCTCGGAGGGCGGAACACATGAATGGTGCTGCTTCGTGCCCCCAGCCTGGGGTCTGTCCAGGGGGTTCCTGCGTGGAGGGCTCCGTGGAAGCGGGACACAGGGGCCTAGCCCAGGAGCAGAGCGCTCTGCCCTCCCATCTGTTTGGCTGGGAGGAAATACTCAGCATCAAGAGGAACTGAGTCACCTGTGGCGGAGATCCTGGGGCTGCTTCCTTCCCAACCGTCAGGCAGCTTTGCGCCCACCTCAGCGGGGAGTGGCACAGGGCAGGGACACCCATCTGCCCCGAGAATCTCGTCTGCTATTTCAAGAGCAGACCCCAAATTCCTTCCCTGGAGCACCTTGAATCTAGGTGCTCTCTAAGACCTGAAGGAGGTGATTTCTTGGATCAGGGCAGGAAAGGCTCCCCAGGGACACCCGGTCATTGGAGCCCCCGCACGTGCCTGACCACGGAGGCCACCAGGAGGATACAAGAGTGGACATAAAGTAGCTTGGGTTTGGGGTGGTTCCTTAGGGTTCCCTTGGGAGGGAGGAGGGGTGAGCCTTCCTGGGGGCACCGGAGCATCCAGATGCGTTTGAGCTGGGCCTGGGACGGGCCTGTGCGAGAAGGGGGGCTCGCTCTCTCGGGGGGGCTGCAGGAGGGCCTCTCGGCGGGGCACCCCCACTCTGGTCAGCGGCCACGTTCGGAGGCTCCCAGCCGCTCTCTGCTCAAGAGGTCTGCTCAGAGAGGATCTGACTGACGCCCACTCCCCGCCCCTCACAGAAGCAATGCCTGCCTTTGCGCAGGTGGGCGGGGGACCCGGGAACCTCTTTAGGAAAGGGCCGGGAAAGCGTCTGTGCCAAGGACAGACCAACGGAGACACCACTAAAAATGCCAGCGACGTGCGGCATGAAATACAGCCTGTCCGATTAAATTACTGAACGCATTAGCATTAATTGCCGTCCCGCAACCCCGTGAGTGGCTTGCATCTCCTCTTCCTCTGGCTCGGAGGGCCTTCAGCCGGCACTCACGCTGTCTCTTCCTGCGCCCTGTGAAGAGGAGGCCCGGGGGACAGGCCCCCCACATTTGAGCCGGTGGAAACCGTTGCTGCCTTCGT